CGTGTATTCTGTAACGAATTCAGCCCACTGAAGGCGAGAGTAGTGAGAACCCAAGTGCAGTTTATTTACAGTGATCCAAACATCCAAACATAATCCAAACAGACGAAGACTAGAGACACAGACTTGACTTGACTTGACGAGGCATGAACAGACTTGATGAGGCACAAACAGACTAGACTCACCGACAGCGGGTTGCAACTTCAATACACGACAAAGCACAATGACAACATCATGGCTACTTATAGCAAACATGAGGGTCACATGACAATAACAAACCAATGGGAAACAAGACACATGACTAGGACAACCAATCAGAACATGACACATACACTTGTAAAAGTGAAAGTGTATTATGGTATGGGGGGAAACTATACGTCATTTGAATTATGGGTAACACTTTACAATAAGGTCCTGTTAACATTAGTTAATACATTAATTAACATTAACAATGTTCATGTTTAAAAGATTAAGAAATTGTTTATTTATATTTTTCATTGTTAGTTCATGTTAACTTCTGCAGTTAACTAACGTTAACAAATGGAACCTTATTGTTAAGTGTTGTTGAATTATGTTTACATTTATACATTCAGAGACTTAAAAATGGAGAAATACTATAACATCCATTTCAAACCTTTCCTTTTTATGTAATCTTAGAGGTGTTTTCTTATTGCTAGGAATCTTTCAGATTTTTTTAATTTCAGAATTTTTTTATTATTCTAGAAAAAATAACAGTATTACCGGTAGTTCTTCTTATGAATAAGTGGAAACTATTGATAGATAAAGCTTCTATTTTTTCTTACTCTATATCAGCCTTTGGTATGCTTCATCACAAGGTAATTTACCTTGCGATATGGTTTATCACAAGGTAAACAACAAAACAAATAGAAAAATAGTTAGGTTTTTCATGGACATTTGGTACATTTTAAATCACATTTGATAGTGCACTGGCATTGACTTGACTCTGGAAAAATGTCCCAATTATCCTGAGTTAACCCTAAATAAATGTTTTTGATTATTAAAAAAGTGTCCTATTTCTTTTCCTGAAACAGTGCTTGATTTAAAGACCATTAGCCTCTCCATTAGAAGTTATAATGGGGTCAAAACTGTTTCTATTCGATATTAAAACAAATAAATTCCACTTACTGATGAATCAGGACAACACTAAAATAGCAGGTCCAAAAATTCATATTGTGGCTGTCTCATTTATATTGTTAAATTCGAAGAAAGAAACCATGATTAAATACTGATTAAGTAATGATGTAAAAAAAATAAAAATAAAAGCACATATTTGTGCAGGCCTTTTATGCTTCTGGATATATATTTTTTAAGATATGAATTGAAGGAATAGTTCACCCACAAATGAAAATGTATTGTTTGTTTACTCACCTTTATCCAAGATGTGGGTGACTTTCTTTCTCCAGCAGAACAGTAAATAAGATTTTTAGCTGAACCCATAGTGCTTGTTGATTCATAAGGGGTGCAGAAACTTTAAGACTGAAATCTTATGAAGCAAACCGATCGGTCTGTGTAAGAAGCTGAATATTATTTACAACAGTAAATAGTCATCTTTTAAACTAGAACAGCTTGAATCAGTACTCTCACATTGACATTTACACACACACGTGTGTGTGTGTGTGTGTGTGTGTGTGTACCTACTTAACCATATTTTGGGGACAAATTTGTACCCAAAAGTGAGCTAAACCTGACAAAATCTCCAAAAACCTCCTTTTGGGGACGTCCTCATTTGTAAAACTGGTATAAAAATAAAGTACAAAAGTTTTTTTTAAATTGTAAAAATGCAGAAAGTTTTCTGTAAGGGGTAAGTTTAGGTGTAGGGTTGGTGTAGGGCGATAGAATATACAGTTTGTACAGTATAAAAACCATTACACCTATGGAATGTCCCCATTTAGATAGCTAAGTAAACGTGTGTGTGTGTGTCTGTGTAGTTGTACATTATGGCATTTGTTCAGGTGTAATATGAGGAAGAATACACCTTGTACAATAACCCAGATAGCACACGTACGTCTACAAGATGTCTGTTAAAGATCTCTTCATCTGGAAAGCATCTGCTGTGTACAAACATCTGATAGACGTCTTTAAGATGTCAGTTTTACATACATTCTTAATCATAAACCTCTTAAAGACATCTTCTAAACGTCTATTAGACATCTGATAGGAAACGTCCTATAGACGTACTGCAGATGAGCAAACACTCTAAAAATATGTCTTGCAGATGTCAAATAGACGTCTCCGTGATGTACGAGTGCTATCAGGAAAACTGACTTATACAAAACGAACAAATTCATAATTTAATGTTTGTGGACAGTTCACGGTATATGAGTATGCAAGAGCACACGTAGCCAAACTGAACTCCTTTGACTCTGCAGTAAGTACCATTTGTAAAATAAGACCTCCGCTATCCATTTTTACATTTTTTACAGTCTATGGATCCATTCCATTCCATCCTTTGGAATGGTTGCCCTTGGAAACAAGCCGCTCGTAAACATTCACAACATTCCAGCTCTTCCTGCAGGAAAGAAAAATTGTCAAATATTTTTTAATTCCTTACGAAACTTTGTTCTTGACCCATTTTACTTCCGAAATGTGACATATCTGAAGCAGAAAATTCAATTAAAATGCTTAAATTAATCTGGAACTGACTGATTTTAGTATTATTTATATACTATTATAATATTCATTGATATTTTAGATTGAATTTTTATATTTGTAGTTTTTATTTCATTCCAGTTAAATGTTTAGTGCTTTTTGCTTGTCATTTGTATCATTTTTTAATTTCTGTTCAGCTCTAAGTTATTTTTTATTTCTGTTTAGTTTTAGCAATTATATTACTTTATTTTACTTATTATATTTCGGTTAGCTGCAAAGACAACATTTCTATTTTTTTAAGTTTAAGTTTTTCATTTAAGATTTATATTTTATTTTATTTCAATTATGAAAACAATTTCAATAGTTTTAATTGTAGTTAATTATAGCATCCAATGATTGGCTCATGAAAAGCGGCAAACCTATTGTTATTTGTTATTATTGTGTTAATGTTAATCTGCATTTAATCACCGTGTAAGATTTTTAGAAAGACTGCATTAGCTACAAGGGCAGCCTTTAACAAGCCTTTGACTTTAATTGTCTTTTCCTTTAATGTGTAAATGTGAACAACCATAATAAGCCATAACGTACAGCTACACATTGATATATGAAATGTTAATTAAAAAAATAGTTTGTAAAATAAATGTGAGAGTACTGATTCAAGCCTCCCATCAAGTTTAATTCTGAGCTAAAAACAAACAAACAACCAAAAACATGGTAGTGAGTTTTAAGATTCAGCAGCATGAAAGCACAAATATCGTCTTTTTTTTTTTTTTTACACCATTACATAAGTAATACCCATGATTCTGTACTTCGATATTTGAAGTAAAAGCCAATTAGAATTTTTGGACCTGCTATTTTAGTGTTGCCTGATTCATCAGTACGTTTTGAGGAATCCTTTATGATGTGTTCATGTAGTTGATGAAGACAGAATAAGATAGAGTGAAATAGAAAAGAGACACTTTTGATAACTAGGTCTTTGAATTGAACCCTGTTTCAGGACAAGATCTTTTTTTTTTTTTTTTCAAACCGTCAAAACATTTATTTATCACATTTATAATGTAAACTTTACCAAATGTCAATGAAAGTCATTTTTCTATTTGGTGAACTGGTTATGTTGTTTACCTTGTGATAAACCATATCGTAAGGTAAATTTCCTTGAGATAAACTGTTTCAAGGTCAATTACCTTGTGATTGACCATATCAAAGGCTTTTCTGATACAGGGTAAGAAAAAATAGACGCTTTATCTATTCAACAGTTTCCACTTTATTCACAAGAAGAACTAATAGTGTTATTTTTTTCTTTTTGCTGTAGTAATTTAGCATATCTGAACGATTATTCAATAAGAAAACACTTTTTCTAAGAAAGGTTTGAAATGGGCGTTATAGTTTAAATGTAATTTTAGTTAATATTAGGATCAGTTAACAATGAAAAATATTTCTAAAACATTTCTTAATCTTAGGTTGTGTTAATGTTAACATTTACTAATACATAATTAAAATCAAATGTTGTATCTGTTAGTTTATCTGTTATCTAATGGATCTGAGCTCATTTATACTAACAATCAACAGGTTTATTTTTGTTAATAAATAAAGTTTAATTAATACTGCAACAAATATATTGCTCATTAATGCATTAACTGATGTGAACTAATAGGACCTTATTGTAAAGTGTTACCCATAATTCAAATGACGTATAGTTTCCCCCCATACCATAATACACTTTCACTTTTACAATACAATCGACTTTTTGGTGACGTCAATAAAGAATTAAGATTCTTGACATATTCATTGGTATCACGGGTGGTTTGTTCAACTCAAGTTTATTTGAGACGGACTGAAAGCATCTGTCACTTTCTCAAAGCTAAATCTTTATATCATGGAACACACTGGTTTGTCAGCATGTGCTTACGTAAGTGTTAGCATGTATTTATAATGCGTATGAGGTGCAGGTAGATGCATAACCGGACTGCGTGAACAGAGACTCTTCAGTGCTCTCAAGATCTGTCCTGATGCATTGGCACTCGCGGCTGCTTCTCTCTTTGCTTGTGGTGTTTGCTGCTGAAGGTAAGCCACATATTCAGTTTTTTAGTCAAATAATTATTGTTAATTATTATTATTGCTGAATAAAAACTGGTGATTTACTCTTCGTTTATGAGTACACGCACTAGATATGTTACCAAAGTTATGTTCACTCAGAAGTTACATTTATGTAATTTCTTCACCCTTCTTGTCATTTCAAACACAGATGACTTCCTTCGGCCATGAAACACTTTGTAGAATGTCTACAGCACTCTATTTTCAATAGAGTCAAGAATATCAAATAAAGCACCATGAAAATAGTAAAAGTAATTTATGTGACCCTTGATTTCCAACTCTGCTTGATATTAATGGCAAAATGTAAGAACCTACAACATTTTACGATCATTGACGTCGTTGATGACATTTAAGTTTATGTTTGTCTTAATAAATTAATGTATTAGATATGTGAGATTTGGTATTCTCATGGGTTGATTTAGCTTTTTTTTTTTGTGGGATTGACTTATAATATGAGTCCTTTTTTTTCTTTTCTCCCATTTTCCATCAGCCACCACCACAAAGCACATGAAGGACTTCATCAGAGCTGTGGAGAGCATTGAAGCTGTGAATCCAGGTCTTCAGATGCTGGATGTGGTGAAAGGTCTGCGTAAGGCTGCTGGCCTTGAAACCGACCTCATCAAGCGTTACCTCGGCGACCTCAGTGATGCACACGACCTTGTGGCAGATCCATCAGTCACTTCCTACGTAAGCGAGGTCATTAATCACAGCCTATCACAGTTGAGGAAGGAGGAAGGTGTGGTTCTCACGTTAGATGGTTCAAATGTGGCGTTGGCCTCAATGCTCCTCGGACTTGAGGCTGGGCTGCAACAGATGACTTCCTTCGGCCATGAAACACTTTGTAGAATGTCTACAGCACTCTATTTTCAATAGAGTCAAGAATATCAAATAAAGCACCATGAAAATAGTAAAAGTAATTTATGTGACCCTTGATTTCCAACTCTGCTTGATATTAATGGCAAAATGTAAGAACCTACAACATTTTACGATCATTGACGTCGTTGATGACATTTAAGTTTATGTTTGTCTTAATAAATTAATGTATTAGATATGTGAGATTTGGTATTCTCATGGGTTGATTTAGCTTTTTTTTTTTGTGGGATTGACTTATAATATGAGTCCTTTTTTTTCTTTTCTCCCATTTTCCATCAGCCACCACCACAAAGCACATGAAGGACTTCATCAGAATTGTGTCTCTGGAAAACAGTACATGTATTACATGTATTACTACTAATAAATGCATAATAAATTCCTTTTAAGAAAATTGGCAAAATCAAACTTTCCTTAAATAATTTCGTTCAAAAGCAAAGTTCCTCTACAAAAGCGATGTTCAAGTATTTTGATCAGACACATCGCCACCTTATTTTTGCATTGTTTGAATATAATAAAATCGGCAAATCTGGATATGATTTTGCATATTTACTAATATAACTATGCTGTGGTAGAATTAAATAATTAAATAGCTTTTAAATAAAAACAATAGTGTGTGTGTGTGTGTGTGTGGGTGTGTGTGTGTGCGTGTGTGTATGTGTGTGTAGTGCTGTGGAAATGTGTTTGTCCCCATCCTGATTTCTTTTTTTATTGCTTTTGTGTATATCTCATAGGCTACTAAATTGTTTCAGAAATAAAAACAAAATCTAACATAAAAGTTTAATGATAAAACACAACCTGAGTGAACACAAAATAGGCCTACAGTTTTTAAATGATAATGTTATTTATTGGAGCAAAAAAGATCAACTGGGACAAGATAGCCTAATAAATAATACACATTTTGGACTATTTGATATGTCTGTTTAAATGTTTAAAACTTGCACAATATTTTACATGATACGCTTCTCTGGCCACATATGTCTCATTTTCAGGAGCTGGTCCATAATTTATGCCTTCTTTTTCATTTATTCAGATTTGGATTCATATTATGCATATTAAGAGCTGTTTTAGCAATTTTCAGCCACTGAATATTTTATTTAAACTTGCATGTTCATTAATTACCTATTTGATGCAGTGTCGAGGTTGTGGATGATTGTCCAGATTCAACTCTGTGAACTGTAAATCCCAACTCCTCGATCATGACAAAACATTTTAATGTAGAATGTACAACACAAATATTCAGAAATGTCATCATTTCATGTTCACTGGACAGAAAAACATGTTAGCTCGACATGTATTGTTATTATTATTTTCAATGTTTTCAATTTTACATTTCAACCTCCGTGCAGCCGCTTGTGTTTTCTTCCTCATATCATGACATCTTTTTCGTCACAAGACTTCTTGAATGTATTCAGGATTTTTCTCTTATAAAATATGGTATTTCATCAAATATCCTTGGTAAATGTATGCCACGTAAGACAATATATTTATATATTTATTTAATATA